TATTTTTTATATATAAATTAATATTCAAAATCAAATGTTATAATTGAAAAATTAAATATATTAAAGCCCAATTAAACAGTTCAAATTACGTTATATCATGTCATGTTATATCAATAAGCAGTAGGTAATTGAGGAATGATAACGATAGACGCTTTACAATACTTGAGATTTTACTGTTCCATGTCATCTTTTTTTTAAATTTGAAACCCGTTACCTATTCTTAGTTAACTTCATGTTTTTATTTGATGAAAGATGAAAGATGAAAGCTGGTTTCGCGTAAAAAAGTTCAAAGTTAAAACCTAATTTTGGTTTTTTAATAATTATTGAAAATAGAGAAAGTTCATATTATCTTTATCTCAATTAATTGTTTTGACAAAAAATCCAAATATTTTCCACGAAATATGGCAGCTTTGAAAAGGTTAAAAGACCATTATTGTATAATAAACCCCATTTTTTGGACAGCAAAAAAAAAAGTAGAGCTTTATACAATCAACTCTTTCCGTTCGGTATTGTTTTCAACTTATCCTCCAAATTCATGAATCATGATCAGTTTTTATCACAAAAATATTTTAATGCTGCATTCAAAGCATCATAGCTCTCTCTCTCTCTCTCTATTAACAATACAAAATAGTTTTTAAATAAAATAAAGATTGCTACTTTGATTGGAAATAAAAAAGAAAAATAATAATTTTTTTTTGTAAACAATATAAAATCATAGAGAACAAGAAATAAAGAATTTGGATTTTTTTTTTTAAGGAAACGAAAGAAAACAGGGTTATAGTCGATTTGAAGACTTTTTCAATTGTGAAGAAATTTGAGAGAAAGAGGGACCTAACCAATTTTTTTTATAAAGCTTAAAATGTTCTTGACTATTAGTAACACCAAGAGAAGATTGATCATTGCAAAAGAAAGAATTTTAGAGGTGGGTCAATCCTAGCTTTTTAAGCTTCAATTTTGTTGGTGTTAAACTCCAAACTGTGGGGTAAAACCTTGAAGATACAAGAGAAAAAAAAAGCGGTTAAAGGTAAAAGTTATCAATTTTTCTAACATTTACACTCCAACACTTAAGTCAAAGATCAGAATAGGAGAAAATAGGAAAGAGAAAGTATGAAAGTAAAGGAATATGAGATGTCTAGATAATGCCTAGATAACCCTATTTATAGTTAAAGGTAAAGGGTTTTAGGGTAGTTTACGTAGCCCTTGGTCACTCCCATGATCAAGGTGACCTAGCAAGCCAAGTTGACCTAGATGCTGATCATCCACTCAAGGAGTTACAAGTCAGCATAAAAAAAGGGTCTTTTGGATAGGTTGATGAGGTGAATGGGCTGATATAGCATTATGCTTGTCAGGTTGGACTGACATGTTAGGTCAACCCTAAAAGTCATAAATACCCTTTACTGTTAGCTTGTAGCCTTTAATGGGTAAAAAAACAATTTTACCCTTTAGATTTAAAAAAGCCCCAAACATTTTGTCCCCCTCACAGAGTAGTCCGAGTATTAGATTTTTTAGTGTGATCTTGGTCAATCTGGTTTGTGTTAATCTGATACATAGTTCAATGGTGCCAAGCTTTATCTTGAGTATGGGCTTCAAAATTTACACTTAATTGATCCGACCTGAAGTAATGAAGGTGAATAACCATGAATGCCAAGGTAGACGAGGGTTGGACTAGCCAAATTTATGAATGATTACCAACGTGACTTATACATTTGATGTTGTATTTAACCATAGCTTGATAGCCTACTATTGTCTAGGCTAACGTAGGACTTGTATGTTTTTTATATTTTGAAATTAGATTTTTGACCTGACACATGGTTAACCTAGTGTGTCACAAGTGTTTGACTGATATGGTTATGTAAAATGATCAATTTAGCACTCTATCATCTGAAAATGGCATTTAATGAGGAGAGAAAAAATTCGACAGTAAAAATTCAAAGTTAGGAATGCGAAAAGTCATTCTTGGTAACTACTGTGGACACATGGCACAATCTATAATGTTCATCTTATCTCTCTATTGGCTATACAATGGGTCCCTTAAGGTTTCCATCTCTCACTTTGCAACCTTCTTGCTCTCGTGCTGACTTATTTTTTATTGACCTATAAACTTTCTAATTTTTTTTTAGTCGATCTTCCCATCTTCAACTAGTTTTGTATTTTTTTCCCTTTAATTATGTCTTCTAATTCAAGTTTTAGGAGTTTTAGGGTAGAGTTAAGGGGAGGTCAGCTTGGTCATTAGGGTTCAAATGATGAAGTCCTTTTTGTGATTACAGGGATGGATTATACCCAAGTTACTTTTTGGTTAAATCCAATATTTACTATTGATTAGCAATGAGTTGAAGACAGTGCTCGTGCTAAGGGACAATAGGTCTTTCATGATGTGGCTGAGCTTATTTCTGCAATAGATAGTGATCTTCAAAATCCACTAGCCCTAATGCTAGAGGTCAACTTGAAAAATAGTGCTCGTGCTAGGGGACAACAAGTCTTCCATGATGTGGCTGAGCTTATTTTGCAATAGAAAATGATATTCAAAATCCACTAGCCCTAATGTCAAAGGTCAACTTGGTTTCTCGACTAACCTTTCTTTTTTTATTTCTCCTCCTTCTTGCCCTCACTTTTTTTTTTCTTTCCCTCACTTTTTTTTTCTCTCTCTTACCTTTTTTTTTCTTCTATTTTGTCTTCCCATCTTCAAGCTTTTGTTTCTACTTTTTCTCTACATCTATCTAAGCCAACGTTAGATTCTAACCCTAGTTTGGCTTTTGAGTATAAGAAGTCTATTCTCCCTTGTTTATCTTCTTCTTCATCCGAAGTAAGAGAGATTCTTACTCCTGCTCCTATTCGAACATTGGCTTTTGTTACCTTCTTAGAAGATAAGTCATCCAAGATGACACTTTTAAAAGTGAGCAAACTATAAATGAACAAGTAGAATGGAGCAATCAAGCCGATGTGGGAAGGGTAGCTGAAGGCAAAGAGGAGGACACCTTAAATGGTGATGCCTATGACCTTATTCTTTTTTTATACCTCTTATGACTTAGGCATAACCATAAAGGATGTTAAGTAGAGCTTAAGAGGCAAGGCTAATCCTAAGGACTGCCCTAAAATATACTTAGTACATCACTCCCATGCTTTAAAAGGTCAAGTTTAATCTTCCTAAAATAGGGTATAGTATAGTATCACCGAGGACCGAGTTACTACTCCTTTGGATGTCGACAAGATTTGGGTGTATTAGGAGTCCATAATGACCAGTCTAAAGTTCTTTTTACATTTTTTCATTGTTAATTTTCTTTTTTTATTTTTACAATTTAACTATCACTAAGCTCGTCCTAAATTCTTTTCAGTACAATATAGGTTTTGTAATTCTTTCTAGAGGGTGAAAGTTAAACCTTACCATTCTTTTGTTTAAAGAATTTTTTGCAGTTAAAAAGCATCCTCGTGATAAGAGCTAATTTTATATAATAGCTCAACCTACAAAAAAATTTTTTTACTAATTGTTTAAGCTTAATAAAGAGTTAAAAGCTGCTCTTCCTATGTATAAAGAAAAAATATGACCAAGGGAAAGCTTGGTGTATGGAAAATAAGCAATAAACTTGGAATTTTTAAAGATGTCAAAATTGGTTCCTTGGCAATTGCTTAACTAGAAACTCGAGATGCAATAATGAACCTCTTCTAGAAGGAGCAATTGGTTCTAGATGCGAAAGAGTTGACCTCTCATTTTGTTATCAAGGAGGTCAAGTATTGGGGTAGTCTTGAGTAACTTCACATGATGTTTGTTATAAAAAATCTTACTAACACTTAGTTTGGTTTTCTGTGTAAATATCTCATCCCAATGAGAGATTTTGAGTTTACCTGCTTTTTTCATGCTCTGAAGTCCAAAAAGGGAGGTAAAGCTTCCATTCAGCTTAGAACCCCCGCAAGAGGGGTTCAAAATTATCAACCTTGCTCCTCTTCAGTCTCTATCTAGCCCAATCATACCCTAAAAAAGGTAGAAACAAATGGCCTAGAGGGAAAACGTCTCCAAGTAATAGATGACTAAAGTATGTCGTACTAGTTCACGCACTAGGTTATAACCCACCTTAGAGCGAATGGCAATAAATGTGGAGTTTGACTCTATAAATAACCTATTTGAAATACCCTAAGGTGGTTAAAAAGATCACCAAAGTGACCCTCACCAAAAAAAGGTCAGTATCTTTAGGTTTAATCTATTTTTATTTTTATTTTTGATAATTCTGTTATTTTAACAAGTACGAGCTTGGTTACTATTTTATGTAGCTTCTAAACAACTTTCCTTTACTATCTCCCTTACAGCAGGGCAAGGCCTAATCAATGCTTATCAGGCCCTGATATATTATTATAAATTCAAGTAGGATCTTAAAGATTATGTTTAGGATCTACATTTGTCCATGGAGGCCCACAAGAAGACCAAGGCCTCTTTAGCTCAGGTTAAGAAGGATAAGGAAGAGCTCAACAAGAAAGTAGAGGACATGGCTACCAAGCTCAAAGATATGTCCATGCAAAAGGCCATAATCGAGTCACTTCAACAACAGGTTAATCTCAAGCTTAATATTGCTCTGGCCGAGGTAGCGAGGCTGAAGTCAGAGTTGGAAGCTGAAAAAAAGACCAAGGCACAGGCAGTTGACAAGTTCCTAGCCTCTTTAGAATTTTATGATATGCAAACAGAGTTTGCTCAAAGCCAAATCTTCAGTGCTTTTGAACTAGCAAAAGAGGAGGTTCAATTGTATTTCACTGACCTAAACCTCAACCTCTCTAATGTTAGACTCGACAATATTAAATCTTGAGAAGCCCTTACTGTTGAGACCGTTGAGGATGAGGAAGATGACAAGCTTGAGTCTGAGTTCAATGCTACTTTTAAGGCTGAAGCTAAGGTCGGTAAGGCCTTGATCTACTTATTTTGTTTCTTCCTAAAAACCAATTAATTTCACCCCAAAGGCATTGCAGCCAGCAGTAGGGCAGAACAGAATAAACTAGAATGTTGCACACATAAGCCAAAAGAGAAAGCATTTGGAATCAAATCAATGCTTGAACTTTGTTAATCGTCCAAGAATAAATAATAAACTCATTGAATCACATCATCTAACAAAAAATAAACAATATCAAATTAAAAACCAATCTACTTTCTCTAAGATCTGATCAGATGGAAAAAAAATTACTAGAATAAAAATCTGTTGAAGATATCTGAGAAATAGAACCAACATCAATCAACATGGGATTTGATCAATGAACCATCTAAGAACTTTAACAGGAAGCTTCACAAGACCCACAGCAAAGTTAGCAAGTCCAGCACAGCAAATGCAACATGGGCACAGGCAACTCAATACGGTCCTGCCATTACCAAGATTGCAAAAATGGAATATCAGAACCACAACTTTAAACACGTTTTTACTCAATATTAAAGCAAGAAAAAGGAAACCCATTTTTTTTGCGGACAACTTTGACTCTTGATCATAAAACCAGAAATTTACCATATTCCTCTATACGTAAAAGAAAAGAAACGATAAGGCATAAAACTTGTAAGTTTAATGGAGATTTGCAGATTGTTACAAAGAAAAAACATAAAAGAAACCACCATCAAGAAACAACAGTAAAAGAATCAAAAGAATTAAAGAAAACTTACCCAAGAACCCAGATAACCGCACCAACGACAGACAAAACCAGTGCAACAAGGGCAAATGGAAGTCCCAGTAAGAACCCCAATGGTCTGCAATCTCCCATTTTCTCTGTAGAATCCTTTCAAAAATCGAAATATTTTTTTTTCTTCTGTGTTGAATTCGATGAATGAGTCTGCGGTTTATTAAAAAGATTTATGTATAGTCGGCAAAGGCAGACGCGGAAGGTAACTACCGCCCACCTCGTTTGTTCAAAATGACTGATGTGCGCCTGCTTAAGACGCAATTATTTGGTTTTTGTTCGTAGAGGTCAATTGGGTATAATGGGCATTATGTGTTTCGGAACCTTCCTCATTGTTTCATAATTCAATCAATTCGATGGCGTAAAGTCAGTAGCCTCAATCAAGTAACGTGCAGAGACTTCAACTTGTTTTTCACATTGGCACATATTTGGAATTAATTGAATTTTCCATTTTATTAGCTTGATGTTTTCTTTTTCTTTTTCGGTTCATTAAACATAATCGGTTGATGTTGACTTTTGGTCCGATTTTGCGAGTCTGGTTTTGCCTGGGTTGGAGGCCCAATTCAGTTAAAAGCCTGCCTCTCCTCTCTTTCTTTACGTTTTCTCCGCTTTCTCCTTTTATACCATTACGGCATTGCCACGTTTAAAAGGTTGGGATTTGGTGGGAAAAATGGAGCTTAACCGAATAAGAGAAACTTATCTTAATCCATATCATTACTTTATTATATAAAAAAGTGGGTCACATCACATCTAATTAGTAAGGCAATTATACATTTGCATTGAGACTCGTAAAAAAAAAATCTCTAAGTTTATATTTATTAGTGAAAGGTTTGAACTCCATTCGATCTGTTATAAGAATTTATAATATTTTATTATATTTATATTTATTTGAGTTAAAAGTTAAAGTGATATTTACAATTAATATAAAATAATAATTTAAAATAAAATTAACATTGTTAATTGCTAATTATAAAAGGTTTGACGGTAAAGTTATAGAAATAAAGGCAAAACTTTCTTAAACCAACTATAAAACTAAGCAGGAAATGTTAATTGCATAATTTAAAGCTATGAAATTACCAAAAAGAACAACTGCTAAAAAAAGTGTAATCAAACATTTATTACTTGGTAGCTAAAAAAGTATTTTAACTACAAATTGTTTTATGAAATTAAGAAAAATCTTATAATATTTTAACTAAAAATTAAAGGCACAACTAGCATCATTCCATTACAAATATTCAAAATGTAACATCTTATAATATTACTTTTCTTGTTCATTTGATAAGAAAAACATTTCAACGTTCCCTTAGATTTTTATTCACCACTTTTTGTAATAACAACATTACAATAATGAAATGGAATTGCAAAAAAGTAATAAAAAATTTTGAAATTCCAGATATTCTAGTTCACAAAACTTTAACAGAATCAAATAAAGAGTTGTAACTTATAGAAAACTTTCTCACTTATAGCCATATGAGCAGTTGGTTCACAGGGATAGTTTTTAGCCTTTGTGTATATATAGCCCATTACAATACAGCAACAATACATGTATGATTGTTTTATAGGATTTCATCTATCTGTTCTTAAACAATTGGATATTGCCATGACATTAACTTGAATCGATGCATCTTCCTCTTGCCATGACAATGCCATAGATAAATCCTTTACCAAAGGTGAGATCAACAACAAAAACAATAGTTCTATCATCCACTTGCCAACAGTATTTGATTGCCAACCCTTTAGCAATTTGATAAGTTAAATAATTTTGGACTTTGGTAACAATTTCAAGAATTAAATTAAATAGAATAAACATAAATTTAGAGATAAAATATAATTTAAAAAAAGAATGAGATTAATGATATTGAATATATTACTCATACCTGTTGTGTCAAGGTAATTTTGTACTAGACTCTTAACTTAAAGCTAGTATCCTTTTCAATATCACTTTTGTCCTATGCAATTCTTTTCTCCTAGGATATAATAATCCAATATTACTAATAATCTTTTGTTTGTAAAAGGTAGCATTAGTTATCCATTAATCATATAACACTCATAATACAGTAGATTGATCACTCATTGAAAGGAAAGTTCAGGTTCATTCAAGTATGACAATTTTAACAGGCCTAGATTAAGGTTGCATTTAGTATTACTATAGGCTGTATATACATAGAGGCTAGAAACTCAAGAAATACATTATAGCATTTGCAATATACCAATGTCTAAAGACCATTTTCAATGGAAGTTCAAGTTAAGATTGATAGCAATGATTCAGAGCATTTTTCGCAATAGTATGATACTTTACTACTTACTTGGGACTAATAATATGATACACAAAACTATTAGTTTTCAGTCAAAACAAGATTTCATGACTAAAATTCAACCTATATTAGCTTTGGCACAAACTAAATCAAATGGAATACTTAAATTCTAAAGTAAGAGACATAAAAAGCAACTCAACATGCCTTCTCCAATATGAACTATGAACCATAGCTCATGTAGTATGATCACAACTTACCCATGCATGATCAAAAGAAAATGATGACATTATGTAATCATAAGCATCCATCTTCTGTAATAACCGATGAAGAAATCAAAAAACAAAACATGTGAAATAGTTATGAGAAATATTTATAAGAAAATGCTACATTTCGTACTATAAACAAAATTGCATTATCAATCTGATTTCTGGAGAACTTCAATATAGTACAACAAATGCAAGTGTCTGATACTGTGATATGCAACCTATAGGAACAAGTAAAGTTTAAAATTTTCACTATTAATATATTAGATCATTTTTTTTAAATTGCTTCATTTTTCCCAAATCGTTTAATAGAATTAATATTTGTATTTAAATAATTTTAAATACTCCTATAAGATAAATCTTTAAACTTGAGTGAATAACCCGATCATTATACATGTCTAATGCCACCTCTAATTTCTCAACTTACCTCTTCTAGACATTTTATCAACCACTAAGCATCAATTCATCTATTAATCCTATTCTCTTTGTAATCTTTATATTTTTTTAATAGATAAGCTTATGATAAACATTTTTAGGTGAAATTTGAATATTTATTATATTTGGTATATTTTAAATTATGTATTTTTATGCATTTATTATGAATTTTTAAATATATTTATATTATTTTATTGTTTTCTTAAAAAAATTTCTTAAAACTTAATTTACTTTTACATACCTAAGCTTATTTCAAGAAAATGCAATAAATTAAAGAAGAAATATTGCAAAATAATTATGAAATTAGGGTAAATAAAGCTGAAAATCAATCCTAACACATATACCTGAGACGAGAAAAGAAGGTGAATAATCTTACCTTTCAATTTACAAATTTGTATCATTAAGCCATCCTAACACAGATAAAGGAAAAAGACTAGAAAAAAAAAGTGTCAAGTACATTAGGATCTTAAGACATTTCAAACTTCCTCCTAGAAAATTTATTCTTTACTTTTGCTAGTGCATGTTCCTTATCTTTGGCAACTATCCAATGATCATTATAAGCACCAAGTTATTTCATTTCATCATATTCCAATGTAACATACCATGCAGGAATACGATGACCCCACCAAAGTTGCCTTGAAATACACCAATCATGTATGTTTTCAAGCCATCTAAAACATTTGAAACCTATCACTCACATTATATAGCTAATAAAACTAGATAGAATAAGATAAATGTGATCAAGTACAATATAAATTAAGCTAATCCATTGAGCCATTAAGACATTTGATGGAAAACAATAAGAATTCTTAACCTAAAATTCGTAGAAGCGATGGTTTCCTTAATCAAAAATTTTCAAGCTTTTGCTTAATAAGATTGTAGAAGCAATTTTGGTCAATATGAGAATCTGACAGCATCTAATATAAAAAATAGTCATAATACTCAAGCAAGATTATTATTCTACAACATATTGGCAGTAAGTAAAAGAACATACTAAATGAGTAACTTTTCCATTATACTGCTTTGGAATGAACTCAAGCTTCATGTTTTGATCATTAAGGGCCTGCTAGGTTTAATGCATTCAAGTAAAACTCATTGACATTAAACCCTAAAAATTAAAAAAAAATAATTCCCTTTAGATCCCCCACATTCTTGAGACTTATTGCCGCTTTGAAGTAAATGCCTAGCCATATTAAACCTATGAGCCCAAACTTTCTCTTACTTTATTGAAAACCAAACAAAAAACCATTTTCAAACAAAAACACTAAACCTAAAACAAAAATTTATTCCCTCATTTCCTAGTCAAAGAGTCAAGTAATGGAAATAGAAAAATGTAAATAGAGAAAAGAAAAAAAAAACAAAGAAATAACATGAACCTCTTCTTTAAATCCGATGTCATAAAATACCATAATGATAGCTTCATGTAAGGAGACATTAATTAGTTGACTCAAATCCCTAAGCCTTTCAACCACCATATCTAAAAAAAAAAAAGACATTTGGGTGTAAAGTTGCAAAGAAGAAAAAGAAAAACATAGTGAAGGAAAAGGAAAGAGATAGGATAGAGAAAGTAGAGCCATTGAAATGTGTTAGGCAAAGCAAGGATAGGCCAAACAAAACTTACACCTATAAGAGCTATTGGATGCCATGTTATTTCTTTTTGGTACCCTTGTCTTATATCGCCCACAACACATCAAAGTATGTTTTAACATGCAACTATTAAGAAAAGGAAAAAAAAGACACTTGTCTCTCTCAAGATTCTTAAGAGATTCTTTTTATATAGAGCAGTATTGATGAGTAATAGATCATTATATAATTTATTATTATAATTTATTAATTATAAAGTAATAATACAAAATTTTAATTGAACTTTTCCTTATGGTATTTTGTATTTATAATCAAATAATTGGATTTTGATTTTTCTATTCAAGAAATATTTAGTAAATAGTATCATAAGTTTTTGACCTTTTGTAATGTTTCATTTTCACATGTGAATTAAAAAAATAATATTTTAATATGTGATTTTTTGAATTTGTATTAAAAAATAATATTTTAATGTGATTTTTTGAATTTGTTCAAAATTCATTCATCAATTTATGCTTTGTTAGAAGTTAGGTAGAACTAGATAGTTTTTCTCACATTGTTGTGGTTCATATTATAGTTTCATTTGCTTAACTATTTTTATTGCTTGTGCTACCTTCTAATGTATCCTCATTTGAATGTGTAGACATAATAGATCATTAATGTCCTTATGAGTTAAGGATTTGGACTCATTCCTATTGAGAACATATTCAATAGAAGATTTTATTATTCTTGCCCTTTATATTGATAGCTTAGCTGATT